ACACACACACACACACACACACACACACACCATTTCAATGGATGTTTTACTTAAGGAAAGGAGGCACATTGGGAGAATTTTTTCCCCCACAAAACAGAGGAAATGAGTAAAATAAAAGCAATGTTTATAGACAGTGACTATCAAAAGTTTCTAAACTACTGTGGACTGAGATGAAAGGACATTAGAGGTGAGTGACAGGTGCATCCATAAAGTCATACACTTCAATCTCTGTCTTTCAGTGTGAAAAAAGGATTTCCTTTCTAACATTTGCTAATTTTTTTTCTCCACTATTGCCTTCCTTAATGGTTGGGAGCCATTTGGATTTCCCTTTGATTTTCATGCATTGATTCTTTGCTCCATTCTGTGACTCATTTGAATGATCGTGTCTGTGTAACATGACAGAGGCCCTGTGTTGTCTGTGTCAGTGAGGACTGGTGAGGTGCTGATGCCCACATTTTTAAACCTCTTTCCTAGGACCCCACCTAAGTGAAATTATCCTAGTGACCCATTGAAGGGTGAAGTCATGATACTGAAGGCCACAGCCATGCCAGCAGGATCCCAGAAACACAGTGTGGATCCTGTGCTGTAGAGAAACAAGAGTTCTGCCCCCTCAGCATCCAGGAAGGACTGAGGTGTATAAACAGTGTGAAGGACTCCCCTGTCCAGGTGAGTCTGGCCTAAATACTTACCCTGCAACACTGAGACCCTAAGCTATCCTCTCTTGTCTGGGACCAGTATCTGTTGTGTCTAGCAACAGTTTACCCAGTCTCAATGCCAAATTACCTCAGGACAGGATCTTCTTAGATTGGAACTGTGGCAGAATGTCTTGGTTTGAGTTATTTACATTATGGCAAGTCTGAATTTTATTTTTAAACTTTCAGATTCTTGCCAGACTAACTGATAGTTCAGTTTCTTGTTGAGATAAATCTTAAAAGATGTTGAAGAACATATATGCCTGATACTTTTGACTCCCAATCGTACCCATGTTTAGAACCAAACTTAGGGAACTGTGTCTTACTTTCTGGGAGAACATTTATCCAGTCATTACTCAGTGAGTTAGCAGGTATCTATTGAACTGCAATTCACCAGACAGTAAAGAATGTAGAAAGAGTCTCTACCTTCTCAGAGTTTCTAGCTCAGTGGGGGAAACACATGATAATAACTAAGTGAATGACTAATATCTGAACATACAATTACAGTAGCAGAAAAAGGTTGAGACAAAATAACTGGGGGAATCTTACCTTGATAATTTTAATTTCTTGAGTAATAGCCCCTCTTAGATACAGAATGGCTGTTTTCTTCCTCCTCCTCCTCCTCCTCCCCATCTTTTTCCTCCTCCTCCTCCTCCTTCTTCTTGACCTAGAACTGCCCCCCTTAGAGACAGAACGGCTGTTTTCTTCCTCCTCTTCCTCTTCCTCTTCCTCCTCCTCCTCCCCCTCCCATTCCTCCTCCTCCTTCTTCTTGATGACCTGGAACTTGCTATGTAGACTGTAGGCCAGATTGACTTTGAGCTCACAGAGATCCACCTGCCTCTGCTTCCCTAGTGTTGAGATAAAGGCATGTACTTCCTAAAAGGGAATTTGCCACAGGGTTTTTAATGTCTTGAAAGTAAAGGTAAGTTATGACTATGACACTGAGGTCTTCTGTACAGAAGAGGTGGAGAAGTACTGGGAAGGTCGTTTTCATACCCCAAGGGACGTAGCACATCATGTCTATATTTTTCCTTTGCTCTCTCCTTTAAGAACTGATGGAAGATCCTTGTAAATGCCTTCAGAAATTTCAGTTTTGGCTGCCTTTATTTTTTTAAATTCTTTTTCCATAAAATCAAGATGGCTTATTCTGATTTTAGGTCTTGGTGGGCTGCCCAAATATATCCTTCAAAATTAGACCCATTTCTTAAATATGTCTGGAGCAGCGTCAAAAAGGCATGTGAAGCCAAAGCTAGTGTGTTTTTCAAGCTTTACACAGAAAAGATCTCTAAGGATTTCAGCTATGTTGAAGCAATATTTCTGTGGAGAAAACTTGTATCCAGCCTGAAATTTTCCATCCTGGGCTTTCTACCTGCTGTGATGCGGAATGGCCATGATATGAAACCTCTAAGGTTGGGGTTATAACAGAACTTTACTGGCCTCCAAGGACTGGTTCCTCACAGCCATTGTTCACAGAGGCCAGATGATCTAAGAGGATCATGGAAACCTGGCATTTCACTGCCTTTTTGGCTAACACCACCAAAGAAAATTAATTGTTATTGGTTTTGGAAACCCTCATCCAATGCACAAAATAGTAATATCAGAAATCACCCCCCCTCGTTCTTCTTTCTTCTTTTTTTGGCAGAGATTGGAGGTAGGAAGATGATGAATATCGTGATTTCATTGTAACTGCCCCAAATGGCTGATCTCAAGGCAAGACAAGGGTGTTACAGTCCTGTGGCTGAGAATCTTATGAAGTTGTACAGAAAAGGGGTTCCACTAATTTGCCAGAGCTGATGAAACACAGAGACCTTGAGTCTCCCATCTAACTCAGTGGGGCTTGAGCTCCTGGTCATTCCAAACCCAAGACTGGTTTTCTTAGCTTGGGGGAAGGGTGGTCCTGGGTTAAGCCACACCCTTTCTGCCAAGCTTCTCTTCATGTAGGCTTCTCTTACCTCAGGCTTCATATTCCTGTCTTTGGTCCTTTGCTTCAAGCCACAGTACTCTTTCTTTACTTTGGCTAGTCATAGACTTGAATCTCTTTCTTCACTCAAAGTTATGGCACCAATTCCAAATTCATCAAGAAGTCCTAAGATCATACTCCAGTTCCCACAGGAAGCCTCATCTGGGCCCTGCACTTGTCTCTTAATGCTCTTTTGACTTGCTTGCTTTGCTTGCCTTCTTCCATGTGAAGTGTAGACACAAGCTCACATCTAGACATCCTGAATGCCAGTCATGTGATCCATATTGTGCTCAACACCCAGCAGATTCAAAGAAGCTCAGAATAAGCGACAGCTTCTGGTCAAGAAGACCAGGATATCTTTTAAACCAAGTCCCTTAGTCATTGGATAATATAGTTTCATAAAGCAGAATTAATTCTCCACAAAATCTTATGTTCCAGGGTACCTGGAAAGCCCATGTCTAGTTTCAATGGACACATGGTATTCTGGGCTAGCACTGCCCACCAACCATCTCCTTTACCTTCTTAACAGCATCCTGATTGAGTTCTTTATGAGGAGTTGGCTTTACCTCGTGGCATGTCTTCTTGGAAGGAAGGGGAAGGGCAACCAGTTCCCTCTTCCCCACAGAAGCAGGTATGGTCCCTGAAGTCTCTTTCTCTATGGTCTTTTTCTCACTGCCTTAGAACAAATCAGGGTGTCAGCCAAGAACCCTGCTTGAGCCAGGCATTTACTTCTGACTTGCTGATTCTCCAGCTGAGGTGAAATGCTGGCATTGAATAGCTCTGTAACATTCAGAGGAGATGACCCACCTGTTCCTGCTATGCTCCCCTACCTCCTGTCCTGGATCCTGCTTCATTTCTGTTCCATTGTTATATTTTCCATCAAGGCTGTGAACATCTCCCAAATTCTTACTTTTCTGCTGAACATAAGTTAGATATATCTTTCTGTTACTTATAACCAAAGATCCCTAGCAGATACTTTTTTCTGTCACAGGTTTGCTAAATAATAGAAACACTGAGCCAGGGGTTGAGATTGTCCTACTGTATGAGTTATTTTTCATGTTACTTAACAGAAGCAGCTTATTTTGGCTTACAGTTTAGAGGGTACAGTCTATCATGGAGGGAAGGCTTGGCAGCTGGAATGCTGGTGGCAGAAGCTTACCCCATGGCTTGCTTCATCACATCTTAGTGGATCAGGAAGCAGAGAGATAGAACTGGGTGTGGGTCTGCATTATAACCCACCAGCTAGGTCCCATGTCCAAAGGTTCTATACCCTGTCCCCAACCCCCACCCCCAAAACAGTGCCACCAACTAGAGACCAGGTATTTAAATACATGAGCTTGTGGGAGATATTTCACATTCAAATCATAACATCAATGTCAGGTCTGGAACCCAAGTATGACAAAGGCTAATTCCATTTTAATAATTTCAGATGTTCTCCAAAGAATTTGAAGGTTTCTTTGGGGGAAATAATTTTTAAAAATCAAATTTAAGAACAATTGTTTTGGTGACCTGTCCATTTGGAAGGAAGGTCTAGAATCAAGGAAGCATTCAAAGTTTACTTGTTCTTTTGATCAGTTGGTTGTACAGATGGGACTATGCTATGTTGAAATTACAAGATGTGGTTGGAACCACTGTGCCAAAGGGGGGAAGAGTCAGGGAACACATGGGAAGGGACTGTGAGGGAATAAGAAATCAATATGTACCCCTCACATACCTAACATACCTAAGGAGCCCTGGAGAAACCACACGGATCTTTCTAGATGGGAGCTCTTAGTGGCTTATGTCCACATGGACTTTAGAATCAGTCCAGGAGCCTTGGAAGGCTGTTTGGAGGCAGAGACCCTGAGCTTCGCCTCCAGTCTTCTTGGCAAAGGGCACAAAAATTGAGCTATCTACGAGCCTCACAGACTTCTTGAAACAAACAGTGACCTGCTTACACAGTTTCTGAAAAATCCCACATCTGACAGAGAGCTGGGACAGCTGCCTCCCAGGTGGTCTTGCCAGGACAAACACTGCAGGACCTCAGTGCCAACAGAACCTAGCTAGCAAAGACCCACAGAGGCCGTGTGGCGGCCTGTGGGGTTGGCTCTGGACAAACAGCCCGATGCTGACACACATATCAAACCTGGGTCAATACATCATCTGTGACAAACTAGCTGGGAAAGGCCCTGGCTCAATGGACTGTTTAAACTTATGACTTATAAGGGGGTTTGATGGTTAGGTGACTTTAGTGAAAGAATTAGATTATCTAGGTAAAAATGAAACATGCACAGTGAAATTTAACATATGGTTATTCTTCTTTCAGAGTCTATTTTCCACTGTTGTCTCCCAAATGAAAATTAGGGACAATTGTTAATTAACGATTTAGCTATGTTCCTTTTTGAATTGTGTATTCTAAAAAAACATTTTCCTTACAGCTATATTAAGCAAGAGAAAATGCTTAATGTATCTTGAGCTGTGAAAATAATTGAGGATAAGTGGAGATACATCAAAATGGATAAGGAAATACAGGGGCAATTTCTACTTTTTGATTGGGTTTGGTTGAGTCTTTGCGAGTGCGAAACACCACAGTCCCACATGCCAGGCATCTTTGTAGACATTCCTGAGTTCTTATGGGAAAGGATGTGACAGGAAGTAGGTTATTTTTTATGTCCTAGGTTACTCCTAAGCATCGTAGGGGTAGAAATGAGGAAGGGGCTTTGGGGGCATTTGTGTAAGGGAGCAATATAGGGATATTTTCTCAACTCTATCCATCTTCTTCTGATAGATTTACCTCAAACTGGGGATCCCTGTCCAGAGGTGGGGACCAGAAAACAGAACAGTACTGGGGAGATGTTGGATACAAGAAGAACACATTATTATTGTTGTTGTTGTTATTGTTATTATTTTAAGATGGTTCTCCATGTAGTCCAAGCTGGTCTGGAACTTGTTATGTAGGACAGGCTGGCATCGATTTCACATAGATCTACCTGTCTCTGCCTCTGGAGCGCCAGGATTAAAGGTGTATACCAACTGCTTTGGGCTCTACCCCATTATTTATGAATAGGAAGCCCTTCTCACCCTGAGCTTTGCACCTAGAGCTGGGTACTGGTTATTGCTCAGGAATGTCTAGAGGTCTGATTGGAGGACTCCCTTAGTTTTGCTTTCAGACTCTTCTATTGTGGAACACATATATCTGCTATCTCCTCTCAAATCTCTCACTCCTTCACCCCCATTTCCTGCCCAGGTTTCTTTACTCTTGTTGAAGGGGATGGCCTTGGCCTTTCTGAATCTGCATTGTCGTTTCTCCCCTAGACTTGAAGAGTCCTTAGTTCAGCTTTTCTAGGCAATTCAGCAGGGCTTGGAAAGCACAAGCCCAGGATGTGGGATGGGGCAAAACTTAGGGAGGACAAACAGAATGGCACTGGATGGAGAGTGAAGTGGAGGGAGAGTTTGGACTGGTGGTATGCTAGTAAACTGCCTCTCAAAAAGCCCTGTACAGCAAAGCCCCAGTTTGTAGCCTTTTCCAGCTTCCACAGTGTAATGTACCCATTACAGCATCATGACACAATTACAGCCACCACCTGCTTCACAAAATTCTTACATACTTAATAATTGTCTTTCTTGAGTGAGTAGGAGCCATCTCCAAAGGCTCGATATCTGTGTCCTCATTTAAAGCATCATTTTGGTCCCTGGGAATTAGAAGAGTGTCAAGGCCACTGTGTATGAATAGGAAAGACACAACTCAGACACATTCCTAAGTTCCATTGAAAGAGAAAGCAGGTTGTCTTTCTAAGATGATGGGAATTGTCTGTGACGTGCAGACAAAATACAGCTGGATGGGACAGAATAGCACAAAAAGTACTAGAAAGGAGAATATTTGAATTAGATACAGCCGGGTAAAAAAATCACTAACATTTTCCAAGAATCTACTGTGTAGTCTTAATCACTACACTTTAACTGATTCATTTAATCCCAACATAGCTACATGAACTTGACATTATTGTTATCTCCAATTCAAACGTAAAGGAACTGGGAAACTAATCTTTGGTATTGTATCAGTTTCTGTTCTTGTTGTGATTAAATACCTGACAAGAAGCAACTTAAGAAAAGAAATGCTTATTTTGCTTCACAGTTTGAGGGTATAGTCCATCGTAAAGAGGAAGGCATGCATGTATGGTAGGCAGCTGTATGGTGGCTGGAGTATATGGCTGGGTTTACCTACTAATATCTTGGTGGACTAGAAATAGGAGAGTGGAAAAGAAGTGGGCCTGGGCTATAAAACTTGAAGGCCTGCACCTAGTGATCTACTTCCTCCAGCAAGGCTCCAATTTTTAAAAATTATTTACTATTTTTTAAAAAAATCTATTATTTTAATTTTATGTGTATGAGCATATTTTCTGCATGTGTGTAAGTGTACCTGTGTTGTGCAATGCCCAAGGAGGTCAGGAGAGGGCATCAGATCCCCTGGAACTAGAGTTATAGACAATTATTAGCTGCCGTCTGGGTGTTGAGAATTGAACCTGGGCCCTCTGCAAGAGCAGCCAGTGCTCTTAACTGCTGAGCCATCTCTCCAGCCACTTATTTACTAATTTTTATGTATATGAGTGTATTGCCTGTATGTATGTAAGTGCACCCATGTCATGTAATGTCTATGGATGTCAGAAGAGGGCATGGATTCCCTGGAACTGGAGTTATGTACAGTTATTAGCTACCATGTGGGTGCTGGGAACTGAACCTGGGTCCTCTGCAAGGGCAGTCAGTGCTCTTAACTACCTTGGTGACTCTTACATTCTGCATACCTGTAAAATTAACACAATGTGGAGACACTGTTATGTTCTGCTGCCAATTTGAGATGTGGCCTAGCTCCCTTCTAGCTCTGGTAGCCTCTGTGCACTTAGGCAGTGGAATCTGGAAAAACAGTTCCCTGGGTTGTTGTTTTCAAGCAAGGAACCTCTTCAGTGGCAATCTTAGTTCAAGCTCTCTCCTCTCAAACAATTTATATTTTCACAGGTTGGAACCTTTGATGGGTGGGGCCTTGCCTTCTAAGTATCTTTCCCATATTTACAGTGCACAGTTTCAGTTTCCTCTCCAATGGAATTGTCTTTAACAATTACAGCTGCTTTCTCCACATCCTCTTTGTCTACAGCTTCACACTTCACTCATGCTCTTCTCCTCGGTGAGCTCTACATTTTTCATATCTTTGTGATCATTCTCACTGTAGAGCTAAGAGCGGGGAGCAATGACCATGCCACAGCATGGATGTTATGTTTGAAATTTCCTTTGCCAAACAATTTAGTCCATTATTTTTTTTTATTCAGCCCCACTGAAATGTTCAGGTCAGTATGTAACAAGATTCCTTCCCATAATATAGCATGAATGCTCTCTAGCTCAGTTCCTGATAGAATCCTTATTATCAGGTGAGACCTCATGAGCATAGATTTTCAGTTCATCTTTCTCTAGGCATTCTGGTCTTTCACACTCTCATGGCGATGGCCCACTAATTTCTTCTTACAAAATCCAGGAGTTGTCTAGCCTACAGCTTTAAACTCTTCAACATTCTTCCTACAAAACAGTTCCAAGGGCCTCCAAACTACACAGTTTTTATCATAGGAACAGCTGTGACCAAATACCTAAGAAGAAGCACCTTAAAGGAGGGAGGGTTTATTTTGGCACATAGTTTCAGGTAATAAACCATCATAGAATAGGTAGGAGTGTGTAGTTAGGGTGTGTCACCTCCTCATATATTGACAGAACAGGAAGCAGAGAGTATGTAGGAGATGTAGTTGAGCTACAGAAACTTAAGGACCACCCAATGAGGATCCACCTACTAAAGGTTCCAAAACATTTTGTAGTAATATCACCAGTTGGGAACCAAATGTTCAAATACATGAGTTTATGGGGAAAGCATTTCACATTCAAACACAATGGGTACCTCAAAGGTGACTCACTGCTTGGAGGCAGCCACTCCTGTGATCTGAAGAAAATGATTAGGTTTCAAAATGTGATGTTATGTTCCTCTGAGAGCCTTTGCTGCCTTCTATAGGCTACTGTGTATTCAACACATGGTCTAGACATGATTATGAAGGAATGAGATAAGGACCAGAAACATGACCACTGTCAGATTTCACCTCTAACTGGGCTGTCCCAGGGGAAATACTGAGGACTTTCACTTCTGTTTTACAAGGTTGATCAGTAGGATCTCTGCCTTGGGAGATGTTAGTATAAATTTTAGACTAGGGACACGACTGAGGAGGTGTGAGCTTTAGGCTCCAGCAGGCAGTGGGCAGCCACTGACTTTTGCAAGAGTTGTAGAAAGGACAATGCTGTGAATATGACTCAGGAAAAAGACAATCTTGAAACAAATGTACTCAAGAATGTAGCTCAAACAACAACAAATCAAATAACAAGAAAAACAAACAAAAGACCCCTAGAACTCTAAGATACTACACAAGCATGAATGTGATGTGGATACTAAATTCTTACTCTTACCAGCATGCACCAAATGTTTTATACAAAAGCATGTTTTCCCCCACTGACTTCTAAATGTTTTTGTTTGAAGATTGTTTTGAAGAGAAGCTGTTGGAGGAAGTAGACACCTAACAGTCTGTCTCTGGGGCTGTTGGACATCTGTTGAGAGTGGGCATCAATGGAAGTGGAACCTCCGCACACTTTCTCAGTGATGATAAAAACGGGGTCGGTGGAGACATCAGATTGCATGTGCCAAGAGTCAGTAAGATGGAGCTGCTGTTTTGTCTTAATGTTCCTGCAAAATGTGTTTAAGACTAAATGCAGATGAGCAATTTACCCGAAGATAAAGAGGTGTGAGTGTGTGTGCTTATAGGTGTGCATGAATATTTCTGTATAAATAATGGCCTTTTAATTTATTTCGCTTTTGTTTACACTCAGCAGTAACTTCTCCATTTTCAGTGTCTCTCAGCTAATCTGTATATGGTGTCCTAACTTGTAACTTGAGCAATGTCTACCTGATGTTCATATTCTGACCAAAGAAAATGAGCCTAGAGAAACAATGTGGGCCCAGGGCAGAGACATGCAATTAGCTTCTAACCCTGATCCAGATTCACCTAGCCTTCGTGCTTCGTGGCCTGGCCACTTCTGAATAACTTTCTCTTCCTGCTTTGGCCTATATATCGTTTCCAAAACTGCATGAAAAAAAATGTTCTCATTGTATTTCAAAACGAAAAATGTTCTGTCTACATCTGGAAATGCTAAAAAATGTGCTTTCTTACAGTACTTTTTTTTTTTTTTAACTAGGTATGGACAAGGCTCTGACCCTTATTACTGGAACTCAAATCCAGATGGAGTTTGGTAAGGTTCTAATCATTTGAGGGGTATTCTTTTTTTGAAGATTTGTACATCTTTAAGGGAGTTTCTACTTTAAAGAAGTTATCATTTGTGGGAGGTCCGTTATGAAGATTTTAAGTAGTTTGGGGGAAATTTCTCTTTCTTTGAAGAGTCTTATAATTCAGTGAAAACATTTGCCAACTGAGATGGTCACATTTCCCTACTGTAAAGCCTCTTCTTCGAAAATAAATCAAATCTCTCTTTTAATATATTGGCTGTAAGTTGGCTTAGCGATTGTCTTTTAATGTTGGAAACACTGAAAAGAACATTCTTGTCTTTGAGTGAAAGTAAGACTTAAAATTGTACACGGAGTAGACCTAAATTGCAAAATAGGGAATGCATATGTTAATATCATTGGATTGAAGATTAAAATAGTAATGATCAAAGGAAAGGGTGGTTGGATGTGTGACATTTCTTCCTTGCAACTTATTGTATCTTTATAGAACCCTTATTGTCAGCACACACACAAAAGGTTCAAAGGCAGATTCTATTAATAAAATGCTTAGTTAAGAGGCTAAAGTAAGTATCGCTTAAAAGATAACAGATCTGCAGATGAACTAATAACTACCAACAGCATCCAGGGTTTTTCAGCTGACGGATCCCTCCTCCCTGTCCCCTGCCCCCCAGGTTTGAAATCTGATGTTTCCCAGCCTACATGAAGGCAACAGTCTGGCAGAAGTTAGCCCTGGAGTTCTTCAGTCTCCACACCACTGGATCTCTGGCAAGGGAACCCTTTTAATCTCTGCATTTGCATCTGTTCAAGGGCATCTGACTCTGGTGACCCTCAACATTTCCTCATGATTTCAAAAAAATATTGGTACTTGTCTAATTTTTGTTGTATAAAAAAATACCTGTGAACAGGCAATTTATGAAGAGCAGAAAGGTTCCATTGGCTCCCAGTCCAAGAGTATGGCACTGGCATCTGGTGAAAGGCTTCTTGCTACATTGCCATATAGCCAAGGGCATCACTAGGAGAAGCCTGAGCAACCTGCCTGCACTAGTCTCTTCCTGGTATAGTGCTGCCAGTGCATTTCTTGGAGCCCTACTTTCACAAACTCTGGTTACAAGACTCTGGTTACAAGAATCCAGAGTCCATGTGGCATGTAGAGATGTTGATTAGAGACCTTCTGTGTGTCTGACAGTGTTCTAGGTGCCAGAGCTACCACCCCAAAGAAGATAAAAGTTTCTGTCCCAGTCAGCACACACACAAAAGGTTCAAAGGCAGATTCTATTAATAAAATGCTTAGTTAAGAGGCTAAAGTAAGTATCGCTTAAAAGATAACAGATCTGCAGATGAACTAATAACTACCAACAGCATCCAGGGTTTTTCAGCTGACGGATCCCTCCTCCCTGTCCCCTGCCCCCCAGGTTTGAAATCTGATGTTTCCCAGCCTACATGAAGGCAACAGTCTGGCAGAAGTTAGCCCTGGAGTTCTTCAGTCTCCACACCACTGGATCTCTGGCAAGGGAACCCTTTTAATCTCTGCATTTGCATCTGTTCAAGGGCATCTGACTCTGGTGACCCTCAACATTTCCTCATGATTTCAAAAAAATATTGGTACTTGTCTAATTTTTGTTGTATAAAAAAATACCTGTGAACAGGCAATTTATGAAGAGCAGAAAGGTTCCATTGGCTCCCAGTCCAAGAGTATGGCACTGGCATCTGGTGAAAGGCTTCTTGCTACATTGCCATATAGCCAAGGGCATCACTAGGAGAAGCCTGAGCAACCTGCCTGCACTAGTCTCTTCCTGGTATAGTGCTGCCAGTGCATTTCTTGGAGCCCTACTTTCACAAACTCTGGTTACAAGACTCTGGTTACAAGAATCCAGAGTCCATGTGGCATGTAGAGATGTTGATTAGAGACCTACTGTGTGTCTGACAGTGTTCTAGATGCCAGAGCTACCACCCCAAAGAAGATAAAAGTTTCTGTCCCACCTTGAGCAGTCTGGGTTCAAGGTCAGTGTGCGACCTTGAGAAACATTTTGTTGACTCAGGTCCTCATGTATAAAATGGGATGACAACTACATCTACCTTCTAGAGGACTGAATGGATTACATCTGTGTGCATGTGTTCAACGCCAGGAACTGTACCTAGCTTTTAACACGTGTTTGCCGTAATTGCAGACTGGGCAGCTCTGGGGAGCTATTCCCTATTCCATTTTCCTCAACTATGAGGCTGGAGACCTTGAGCTGTATTTCTCAAGGTGTGGTCTGGGGACCCCTAGTGTCAAAATAATATCAGAGACCCATTTAAACATAATCTCTTCCAGGCTGGTCTCATACTCCTGGTCTCAAGTGATCCTCTGCCTCAGCTTCCTGCATAGTTGGAAGTACAAGTGTGCCACTGCGCCTGGCTTAGAGTAAGGTCTGGGAGGGAGCTTTGAAAATGCTTCCAAAGTGATTCAGATGTGTGTTTGTTTAATCAGAACAGAACCCACATATGTAAATGACAGTTGTCACAGAGAGACCTTGGGAGGAAGACAGAAGTTGTGCAGAGAGATCCATGCACTCTGACTCTGGATTCTGTGGCTCTGTCCTAGCCAGAACTGCGCTGGGGGCACTCCTCCCCGGATGAGCTGCCTTCTTCACATATGCCCAATGGCTGTTCATGGACAAAAGCTGCCTCAGGAAGACCCTTTGAATCTTTGTGAGGGTAAACATCAAAAAGATCAGCGAGAGCCACCAAAAAGATGAGCGAGAGCCCCTCTATCTTTTGTGCGCCCTGACATACTTCTCTTCCATTATCATTTGTGTGCTACTGTATCACAGTGAAATACTGTGTGCCTATTCCCCGAACCGTGTGCTTTAGGGTGAGTGTCTCATTCATCTCAGCATTCCTTTCTCCCTCTTCTCCTGGCCCTCCTACTTGGCACAATGATATGTAGGAGGTGATCCTGCTTGTTGAAGGAATTTGCAGAAGAGCCTCTCCTGATTGACTTCCTGGATTATGTATTATGTTTCTGTTGCTGTGATAAAACACCTTGACCAAGGCAAGAGTTTATTTGGCTTACAGTTCCAGAGGGGGAAGAGTCTGTTATGGTCAGGAGGTGTGTTAGCAGAGATGGTAGGAGCAGAAAGCCGAGAGCTCCCATCTTCAAATAGGCATAGGAAGCAGAGAGCCAGACAGAAGTGAGCGTGTCTCTGAACTCAGTGACATGCTTCCTCTAGCATGGTCACATCTCCAAAAGATTCCATGACTCTCCCCTAAAAAGTATTAGGAACTGGGGACCAAGTGTCCAAATACTTGGAGCCTAATGGGGTACATTCTTTCAAACTACCACAGATGGTGTTTTCAACAGAGCCCAGACGGGATGAAACCTCCAGAAACAAAGGCAATGGAAAAATCCTGCCTTCATCACAAAGGCCTTTGCAATATAAACGCAGTGGAAGATATAAATCTTAATTAGTAGCAGGAAAAAGTGTTGATGTATCAAGGTTCTCAAAATGTCAGCTGGTGATTGTGCAACTCATTTATCCCTAGCTGCAAGCCTCGGTCGGCCCTGTGATACTGAAACCAATACTGCTAATTAAAGGTGTAATGATAATCAAAAAAAAGAGGGGGGGTACAAAATTATGTGTGTGTGTTTGTCTGTGTGTGTGGGTATGTGCATGTGAGTGCAGGTGCCCCAAGAGGCCAGAGGCATTGGATCCCCTTGGAACTGGAGTTGCAAGCAGCTTACCTAGTATGAGTACTATGGAATGTACTCAGATCCTTTGCATAAACTGTCTTCTCCAGCCCCAGCAATGAGTTTTTTAAAAAAACATGTTTTACTTTCTGGTTTTCTCTCATCTATTCTTAAAGCACAAAGTCATAACGATGAAGCTAGGAAATGGATTTTGATAATTCATGTTTTGCTAGGAAAGTATCCTTTTCATATTTTAGAGGACATTAGTATCTTCTCTTTTTAAATTGGTCACATATGCAAAAGGTTGTTTCCTTTGCAGCTGTTTAGACCTTTAGGATTTAATGAACTAGACTTAAATTAGTTTTGATTTATTTATGTTTATTTTATGAGTGTTTTGCCTATGTGTATGTAAGTGTACCTGTATCACGCAATACCCACAGAGACCACAAGAGGGTGTCAAATCCCTGGAACTGGAGTTATCATGTGGGTGCTGGAACCTGATCAGCCAGTGCTCTTAAGTGCTATTTCTCCAGCCCTGAGTTGACTTCACTAGTTTACGCTTTAGGTTCTTCTGCCCATGGGCTTCGCCCTGCAATTCTGTTGCTTCTGCTCTGTGCTTCACTTCCCTGCTTCTTATTGTATTGACTATTAACCTTACCTGCCTTCTGGTGAAGGTACTTGCTAACACCAGCATCACATCATTTACATTTTGGATGCTCTTCCTAGGAACATAAACATTACACTTATCATTACTAGGTTCAATTTCCATATTCACTGAGATATAATTCATATGATGGAAAAAATTTCACAAAATAAAACTTGCAATTGTGAAGTATACTTTAAAGCATACAGTGGATTTTTAGTATTTTCTCAAATATTATATAACCACTAACTAATATTAGACTATTTCTATCAGCTTGAAGAAGAAAGCCCATGCTCACTAACAATTTTTTCTTGTTACCACCCTTGTAGTGATAATTTCACTTTCTGTCTTATGTCATCTGCCTACTCTGAACAGTTCATAAGAAGGAGTTGGGAGCTGGAGATGGCTCAGCGGTTAAGAACACTGGTTGTTCTTGCAGAAGACCCGGGTTCAAATCCCAGAACCCACATGGCAGCTAACAACTGTCTGTGACTCCAGTCCAGGAGATCCAACAGCCTCTTCTGACCTTTGCGGGCATTGCACGACATGGATGCACTTACCTACATGCAGGCAATACACGCATACACATAAAATAATAAATAAATAAATAAAAAGGAGTCATATAAAAAGTGGCCTACTGTCAGGCTTCTCACACTTAGTGTAACATTTTTTTCTCAGTATATACTTTTTAATTGAATCTTTGTGCATTTTATCCAATGCATCTTAATCATCTATACATCCCTCCCCTATCTGTGCTGCCCCCCCCACAGCATGCCCACCACTCTCATGCATTCTGTCATATATGTTAAGGCCTATCAAGTCAAGTTTATGTATCCAGATGTCCCTCAGTGTGAATTCATCCACTGGATCCTGTTCAACCTATCTAGTGTAGTGACACTACACTAGAAGATAAACTCTCATTTTTGTATGTGTGTGAGTGTGTGTGTGTGTGTGTGTGTGTGTGTGTGTGTATTCTCCTGTGTCACAGAGATGTGACAGTAAGAAGACAACTTTCAGGAGTCAGTTTTCTCCTTCTGCCCTGTGGGTCCCAGGGATGGAACTCTGGTCATCAGACTTGGGGGCAAGCACGTTTATCCACTGACCCATCTTGCTGGCTCTTGGCTGTTAATATTTTAAAATACAATATTTTTCTTTAGTTCTTTGAGCATTTCATACATGCATACTCATGATCGTACTCATCCTCACTCCTCCTAACTCCTCCCAGATGGGATGCCATGTTTAAGGCTTATGTTGTATCATGTGACAGTCCTATTTATTCTGGGTGAAATTCAGGATGGCTCCCTAATGCTCCATTGTTAGAATGGATCACATTTGTTTATCCATTTATCAGTTGATCAACATCTGTGCTGTTTCCACTTTTTGGCTGTTACTTATTACGCTGTTACAGCTCTTGCATACAAGTTTGGGTACCAACATTTGCTTTTACTTCTCTTGTATCTAGGACTGGGGTTTTGTGGGAGCTCTGAATTTATAGTTTGAAGAACTGCTAGCCCATTTTGCTTTGGATTTATATTTC